CTCAGACATGGTTTATGGTTGTTTTTATCATAGTTTTACGAAAAGCTTTTGGTCTAAAATGTATTCACTGCAGAGGTGTACGTACAGGGTGCAGGGTGTTACCATCAACATTCCAAATAAAAACTCGTGTGGGTTCACTGGTGGTTCTGGATAGTAAATAAAAGGTCTATATTTGTGTTGTAGTCATGGCGACCCCTGGTTCCTATCACCACCACTGTAAGGAATCTGAACCATTTCACACCAAACCACTCTGAATCACTGTGTTTACATCTCAATCACTAATTTATGGAAATATTTTTAAAGATCGTTGTAATTCCCCCTCAAATACAACACACAAGGTGATATTATTTTCAATAAAAAAATTATTTTCAATATTTCCTGATGGTTCCCCTCTGGTATTGCGTGATGTTTTGTTTGTACTTATCGTCATTCACCATGAAATCAGCAAACAAAAAACAAAAACATGCTTAGAAAATGCCTCTTTGGGAAGTGCAGTCATGCCATGTTAGCTTAACCTTCCCTACTTCTGTATTCAGCTGAAGAGCTTTCGAGCTCAATTGGAAATCAATGAGGTGTTTGCCGAGCGAAGGCCACCGAAAGCACTGATGGCTTTTTGCTCAGTTTGGAATAGAAGATACAAAGTGGCTGAATATGATGAATGTCTAAAACTTTCTCCTCTCGCTCCGCAGGATTCAGAAGGAGCTGGCGGAGATAACCCTCGACCCGCCTCCAAACTGCAGGTAGGACCGTGTGTTCGCTGTGCTGTAATGTGTTTAAACGCTGCTGGTTTTACATGGTACGCACTGTTGCCGGAGCGAGGCTTCAGATGGGGGCTGAGTTCTCTTTAGTAGACTATTTAATGCACATATCTGGCATGTGCTGCTCTGTGTTGTTTATAGCGTATCATATGAGTGGTGAGTTTAAGAGCCAGATCTTGGTTTTAGTCCAGACGCTATTAACCTTGATGGTAATCTTAGCTGGGTGACTCTGCAAAGACGTGTGTTTGCCAAGAACAAGTCAGCATGTTTGGTCTGATTCCCTTGACGGGCATGAACCCTGTACAGCTCACAGCCTGCCAGTTTGTTTTTTTTAGAAGGCTCTCAGAATGGAGCCAGGCGGGGCAACAGGTTTGGTTTGTGACGTTGCTAACAGCGTCCTTGAGCTTTCTTCATCTCTGACCTGTCGTTTAGGACCATTATTTTTTTTATTATTTCTGTGGATTTTATTGAAGAAGATTGTTTCAGGCACCAGAAACCTAAACTGAATTCAATTAAAGGCCCATATCATGCAAAATTCACTTTAAGCTCTTCAACTTCTTGAGACCACCGGTGGTTCCAAAACGCACTTCGTCATATTCTTCATAACTTTCATATTTCATAAGCTACATTCTAAAGGTGGGGGTCGTGTGAGAGCTGTAACTGTCTTCTTTCCAGTCAAATAGATGGGTGATGTAATTTTAAACCCTTATAATAAAAGAAGCTGAACTCAGTGATCTGCTCTGAACTCTGAATATTTTTATAAAGTAATACAAAGAGCGTCTAAGATTTTTGGCTTTCAGCAGTAAATTGTAAGCATATAGCAATATGTGTGATCATAAAACACAAGTCCTGTTAACTTTTACAAAAAATAAATAAATAAATAAATAAAATAAAAATTTGCATTTATTTCATGCAGTTACTGAATAATTTGCCTTATGATTTGGTCATGTAAATTCAGATGGACAAACCAAAATATACCTTGGTCAATAAGAGGTTAAAAAAAAAAGAGTGGGGCTGAAAGATGAATCGTTTTTATATTGAAGTCGCAATTTGAAAGAGTGCAATTTTCAAATCGCAAGAGCTGCAACTTAAATTATGGTCTACATTATGAACAAGTTTTAAGTGGGGAGGTTGAACTTCATAACACAGGGCTTGTGAACTGCTGGTAGATGAGTTAGACCAATCAGGAGCAACCAAATGCCCATGTGCTGTGACATCACAACCACAACAAGCCAACAAAAGTGGACATGTTGGTGGTCTTGGTGAATTAAAAAAAAAAAAAGCATGGACATCAAAAATATTGCAAGTGTAATCGCAGTTGCAATACCAGCCATGTTTACATGCAGCCTAATAATCCGTTAATAATCCAACTAATACCTCAATCGGAATAGTCTAGTCCAATTGAGGCCACTCAGAATACAATTCCTATCTGACTGATCGAGGTGGGTAATCCTGTAAATAATGTGTTAAATAGAAGAATAATATCCGTGTAAACGCCTGTATCTGATTACATTCCCTATCGGAAAGTTTAAGTACGTTCTGATCATGTTCGTCGCGTCATAGTGAAAGTTTACAACGTTCAACATGGCGGAGCAGAAACTGGTCTGCAGAGGAGACGAAGTTTATGCTCTGATCTTTAAAAGACGGCGGTGGGACGGACGTCCAGCTTATGTGTCTCAGAACACGACGTCTTCCTCTCGGCCTTCTTTAATAAGGACATGTGAAGGACGTTTTCCTGAGTCTGACATCATTTTAAAGCAATTAAAAACACAAGCACTGCTCACTGCTGCTCATCTCACTCCGACTGGACTCACGTGATGCTCGTTGTCATGGTAACGTCCACACTAAGTGGTTCTCTACGCATGCGTGTAATTTTGGATCGGATTACTTGTAGTGAGCATGTAAACAGAGATTTTCCATCAGATTGTTGAGTAGAGTGAGAATAAACACCTCAGTCTGAATCTGTAATCGGAATGTATTCAATCAGATTGACAAAAATCTTTGCATGTAAACACAGACAGTGTCAGTCAGATCGTTCAGCCCTAAAAAAGAGTTTGTTGGACGTAAACACTGTTAATGTTTGAAACAGCATTCATGCCCCAGTTCATACAGTCCATAACAAAACATGCAAGAACAACCTGTTTTGAATTGCCATTTTTGTGATGTCATGCAAACTATCTGCCTGCCTGAAGCGGATTAGCCCCGCCCATTCACAGACAACTTCCTAAATAAAAAAAAAAAAGCCTGTAAGGAATAAAAAAGTTGGAAAAATGGCCATGTAAAATGAATTATGACTGGTTTTGGTACCTAAAACCACACAAACTATGTAAATAGAGCTTAATTAAAACAAGACTAATGCAGGTCGTGGGCCCTTTAAGCCAGTCATGCGGCAGATTGTGTTGAAACCCACAAAGGAAAAATCTGTATGAATTACATTTCAGATGTGTTTTATTTAATTCCAAAAGGCATTAAATATGCTAAAAAGTGCCCATTTTTGTGGAGGGCGCAACTCCTTTATTTCTAACAGTGTATCAGGTTTATACAAGCACAAAGAGAGATTGCTGGTGTGCAGTAAACTGTCTCTGTAGCCCTCCTGCAGTAATTTGTGGTGTGATTTTATGTGAATCTGTCTGCTGTTAAGGTGTTTGAGATTCAGAGGGACTGAGGCGCTGCTGGAGAACCCATCATCCCTCCGACGGCTCTCTGTGTTTGAGATCGTTCACACGAGTGTCAGTATGCGGTCGGCGCGGCCTCTCTCTCCTGAGCTGTGTGTGTAATCTTTGTGACGCTTGCCTTTTTATATTCATGTCCAACTGCCCGCGCTCCGGCGAGGAGAACGAGATTTCACGCCGACACATTTGCAATGCGAGATGACACCAGAGGACCAGCTTGAAAGATCCTGGCTGAAAGTCTGTCAGTTTCATAACAAATGGATTTACCTGAACAGTGAAAAGTGGTTCTAGATGCCCTTTTATGAAAAACCTATTTATAAAGGGACTCAAATCGTAGCTGTGCTGCTGTTCCTTGGCAAGACGCACAGCCACATGATTGTAGAATAGGTTTATAAGGATATAGACCTGGGGCCGTATTACAGAAACTTCAAGCCTGAAATCTTATCTGCTTAGTCACCATGACAACTTCAGTTAGGACTGAATTTGGGACAGAAGCTGTTACAGAACAACAGTTCTTAAGTTCATAATCTCATCATTAACTCCAGATAAGAAAACAGTATTACAGAAACATCCTAACTAGACTAAACCTCCTAAATACTGTCCTAACTTTAAGATAAACCCCAGAGGGTCTTAACTTCTGTTTAACCGTCTGTTTCTATTGTTTTATGCACTGATAGGCAGCTCAGTTCACTATAACCAGCATAATCATGTCACATTTATCCACACTGAAAACGCTGCTTTGAGTTATGAGGTTTTTAAAAGCTCAGACGCTGCAGACTCGATCTCCACCGTCCCTCTTATTACCTTTGTGTGTTGATGTTGATAAAATCTCGTCAGATAAAATATTAACGTAAGAGTGCAGTATTCCGTACAGTACTTCGGCACTTTTCGTGTTTCAGTAGGTATTACGAAATACCTGAATTCATATAGGATGCAGTGATTGGTTGGACGCTGCCTAGCAACCAAAATGCATTTTGATTGGTTATATTGGGCCGATAATTTTAAAGAAATAAAGAAAAAGTAATGTGTGATCAGTTTGCGCCGTCAGTGCTCTGCACACCATCTTCCACAGACACGGCAGTGTTTTCCTGCATTATATTTGAAGTTTGAGATGTAATTGCATAAAAATGGCCCTTAACTGATTATATGTTTTTAAAAAATGAAGTAACGTACACCGATCAGGCATGACATTATGACCACCTCCTTGTTTCTACGCTCATTGTCCATTTTATCAGCTCCACTTACTATATAGGTGCACTTTGTAGTTCTACAGTTACAGACTGTAGTCCATCTGTTTCTCTGCATACTTTGTTAGCCCCCTTTTACCCTGTTCTTCAGTGGTCAGGACCCCCATGGACCCTCACAGAGCAGGTACTATTTGGGTGGTGGATCATTCTCAGCACTGCAGTAACACTGACATGGTGGTGGTGTGTTAGTGTGTGTTGTGCTGGTCTGAGTGGATCAGACACAGCAGTGCTGCTGGAGTTGTTAAACACTGTGTCCACTCACTGTCCACTCTATTAGACACTCCTACCTTGTCAGTCCACCTTGTAGATGTAAAGTCAGAGACGATAGCTCATCTGCTGCTGCACAGTTTGTGTTGGAAATAACTTCCCTCTGACTCACTTTCTTCTCCGACTGCTGTTTCTCGCCTCGTGTGCTCATTGTAATGCACAGATCTGATTGGATAAGTAGCGTCACGTGATATTTACAATGGATGTGATTGGTCTGTGAGTCTCCCAGCCGCTAAAGCTACCGCAAAGGCTAGAAAAGTTACGCTGATTAAAAAGGACCACCCCATCAAAATTAAATAATTCTCCATAGTTTATCGGTTACAGGTCCAGGTCCGCATAGGACAGCGTCTGGGTCCGGACTCGGACCGTGGTCCGCCTATTAGTGACCTCTGATCCAGAGGAAAAACATTCACGATACAGAATTATGAAAGCTCAGGCTGGTGAGTAAATCACCATAGATCTGTAGTCAACTGTTAAAAACAGTGTGTTGTCTGCTTTTCAGTGAGCTCAGTTTTGTTTTAGCAAAATAAAGACCATCTGAAAGGATGAGCTGCCTTTTTTGTGTGAGCTGTGCGGCTGAACTATATTTACTCCTGCTGTGCTGATGCACACAGACCTGCTTGTCCTCATAGATTTCTTTAAAAACGTTATTTTTATCTGCGTTTTGGCCTTCAGCCCGCATGAACACGGTGTTTTAGATCACTGAAAACAGAGCTCTTTAAAAGCGCTCTCCAGGGTGGGGGTGTTCATGTGGACTGATGCTCTGACATCACACGCAGGTTTGTTGCTGTTTCAG